GAGTCCCCCGTTGTGGGGAGATGGGCGGGGACAAGTCAAATAAATAATAATAATAATAAATGAATCCCATATTTCATTATACTTGTTTATATAAAGCCTATGTCTATAGGCAATCTCTCTGCATCTCAGGTCTTCAATCCATTGGATAAATGGGGCCATATATGTCAGGATTTTTTATCTTTCCAGTGTTGCATTATCAGTCTTTTGGCCATAGTAAGGGCACGGAGAATCCATTTATGTTGTCCAGTTGTCAAATTCCATGTACTAGGTATGTAATTCAAGAGAATATTATCCTCTGAAAATTTTAGCTTTTTTGCACACATTTGTATGGTCCACTTACTCTCTCCCAAAACTTAGTAAGTGTAGGACATTATACAAACATACATTTTAAAGAAGCATTGTCCTTATTACATCTCCAACAAAATGCTGTTGTAGTCTTTTTCTATACAAATGTAATGGAATCCAATAAATGCTAAATATTATTGTTTGTTGTATAAGTCATAGTTTAAGGTCCATTGACATTCTTGCTATAGAAGTTAAGACACTCCCATTGTCTAGGCAATATAGAAACCTCTGACTCTTTATTTCACTATCTCTTAACATCTGCATGTCAAATTGATTTATTGATAACAAATATCTATGAAAGCAAATAGTAGGTTTTTTAGTTTTAAAAGATTTAATGAGTTGTTCTAGTATTTCAGGGGTCTCAGAAGCTGAAAATGCTGCTGGTCCAAACAACATTGTTAACAAATGTTGCAGCTGTAAATACTGCCATTGGGTTACAAGTGCTAGATGATATTTAGCTCTTAACACAGCATATGTTAAAAATTCATCTTCACTGTCTATCAGTTGTCCCCGCTCCATCCAATTTTTCCATATCACCATCTTTTTCCCAAAAGCAGCAGATTGGGGAAGGTAGATTCACAACTGAGTAACATGGGAAAAATGGAGGGGAGAGTCAAGATCCCATTGCATTTTCTTTAAGAACAATAGTCTGCTGAAATGTTCCTCCAACTCAGTGGGATTTAATTATGAGTAGACCCTCATGGGATTGTACTATTATAGAGTTGCATGTTACCTATACCAGTGATGATTATTTTTTTCTTGAGCTTCATTTAGCCATGATGAGCAGGCTTTTAGGCTTGTGAGCTCTATTGTGTGTGACATTTCTAAAAACCCTCTCTTGATATCAAACAAGCACATTGAAATGAAAAGATTCTGTGCTCAGGAACTTATTCCGAGTATTAGAATGACTGAAAGTTATTTGAGAGCTTTGTCCTCACCTGCTTATAACATCTAACAACAATTTCAGATCTTCTTTCCTCTCATCCCAGCATTTAGCTTTCTGCAGCCGCACACATTTCCTTGTCTTCTAGCTTTTAAGAAAGTTTGGGGTGGGTGGGTTGATGGCTGACCTCCCTCGTCTCAATGCTGCTGCTGACTGCTTTCATTATTGCTAGCATCTCCTCTCCTTTTGGCAGGTTTGGTTCCAGAACAGAAGAGCCAAATGCCGAAAGCAAGAGAATCAGATGCACAAAGGTAGGTCCTGGAAGGGAGTGGAGGCGGGCTGACCTTTCTGAAGGCTCTTTCCTGACCCACCCGTGTCTCTGACTGCAGGTGTGATCTTGGGGACGGCCAGCCATTTAGACGCCTGCCGGGTGGCCCCCTATGTGAACATGGGAGCCCTGAGGATGCCTTTCCAGCAGGTAGCTCGTTTTTCTTCCTTTTCATCTCCAGGCTGACCTGTCTAAGGCAGCTGTTAAGTTGGCATTTGGGCAGATGGAGGGAAGGAGGAAGGAATGTGCAATAAAGGGACGTATTCTGCACATATACAGAGGCGCTTTCGTTACCAATAGTTCCTGATGCCTTGGTTCCCTGGCCTTGAAAACCGAATTCAGGAAGGTTTTGAGTAGTAGAGCAGATTTATTTAAAAGTCAGCCCCTCAAGATTCTGTAGGTCTTTTAATATGTGTGCTTAAATCTCTGTGTCTGTCTTGTAACTATAGTTTATGGTTACTAATTGCGGCCAGCATCTCAATTTGATTCAAAAATACTTACTTTGTTTCTAATAGCGACAGGTAAAATTCCAGCCAAGAGAAGATATTGCTGTACCGCATTTGTTAAATTTCAGCCTTTTGAGCACTTGGAAAAGGCATACATCCAAAGCAAATTACTACAGTGAAAGCAAAGAGCAAGCAATCTTTCCAGCTGTTGAGGAGACATCCTTAGTGTGTAGTCTCAGCAAGCGGAAAATAGGATTAGGTTATTTTTCTTCCTTCTCCCAAATCCACACACTGTTTGTATTTCTTCAGTAGGGCTGGTTTTGTCTAGACATGGAAGATGAGCAGGTTCGGGCCTGGTTAGTACTTGGATCGGAGAGTTCTAGGAAGTACAAGGATTGGGAAGTTGAAAAAATATTCCAGAAAAAGGCAGTGGCAAACTACAGGGATAGGATATCTTGGTGAAGTCAAATGGAGTCAAATTCAACTCAAAGGAAACTTTTTTACGTGCCTTACGATGGATCTTTAGCATAGCTAAACCCTTGTGATATCAAAGTAACGCTTAGCTGGGTTAACTTGTTATATTGTTCTGCTGGTGGGGAAAGGAAACACATAGTGAGGTGCTGATTGGCTGATGGGTAGCTAGTGGCATGTGTTTTGTGCTCCCCCTCTGAAGATTTAGGCACCCCCTCCTGTGAAATCTGTCAATGACTGATCAAGGCTACATTGTTCATACAAATATCTCTGGGAGGGAAACAGGATAAAGTTTATACTCTTTGGCAGATTAATCGGGAATTACTGGCTGCTTCCCAGAATTCAAAGGATTGCTATAAAGCTGTTTAAAATGTGGAACAAGATAAGGGCAGCATAATCAAGGAGAAACAGTGGGGGATTCTTGGGTTAATAATACTGAGAGGAAAGGGCCTGCATTACCCTATCCCAAGATGTTATCTCTGTCTTCAATAATTTCACAATTATTGCAGATGTAGCCTCTGTTAAGGCACACTTGCAAGAGCTGGTTGAACAAGGAACACCCTGGTTTCAAATAGCACAAAGAAGCCAGTTTTGCTCATGACATGGGCAAATAAAAATAATGGGAAAAGATAGGGAGCGATGTTAGCATTTGGATGCTGATCGGGTATTCTTGACCGCCTAACATTTCTCCTTTCCATCTCCTTCTACTCTTCTGTTGCTCTTCTTAATTTCAATAAGTTAGATAGCTATCTAAAAGCAAGTGTATTCATACCTCTTATTTTAAAAAAAGCTTATATGTATCACTGCTTTGAGGTCTTTTTTCTGCATAAGATTTTGTTGAATGTTAAAAAGCCTGTTAATAATAACATCAGTTCTGCCTGGCTCCCTTTGAAGCTATTATTTAACTTCTTTTTTAAATTAAAAAAGTACCATCATTTCTGGCTTTCTGCAGTAAGGAATTTAGTGGGTGAATGAAATAAGCCTGTCTTGTATTTTCCTGTTTTAGTTCCTCAGAGAAGTTGTGGTAGAATATTTGATCTTCCTCTTTTTTGAGGAAACAATTTTTCTTAGCTATTTTGTAAAAGTCTTGTAGGGTAAGGTGGTAGTCAGAATAAGCTGTTATGGAATCATCATCCAGCCTTATTTGTAGAATTTTTTGTGGAATTTTAGGAGTGACTCTAGACTTCCCTATGTTATATTTATAATTTTTATCTTTTCATATCAGTCCCTATGTTATTTCTCTTTTTAGAGAAAACCCATTAAGAAGCAAATGGGGGGAATAGCTGTATGCCGCTTTAGCGAAATGCAGGGGATCAATTAACTGGATATGCTTTTATAAGTAATGGTAGAAAGCTAGGAGAACCTGGAGTCAACACTGTTGACCACTGACAATTAGAGCAGAAGTGTGCATAGGAGGCATAGAGAAGCCAAATGTCAGAAATAGCATTGTGCCATCACAACACAAACTCCATGCTCTCCCAGCACAAGCTTTGACCCTTTTGTGTATGTGCATTGTGACACTGCATACATGTACAAAAGGGACAGAGCTTTCTTCACAACAGTGTGATGCTGCCCTATTTGATGAAAATCTTCAATTCTGTGGACGCTCCTGGATTCGAGCAAAAAGGGGGAAGGAAAAGGAAAAGAGTCAGTTAGTAGATATTAAAAGTAAAGCAAAGAGACTCCATTAGTTTTTGTGAAAAAGTAAACTATTATTTTGTAAATAAGCACAGAAGTCTCTACATCTAAATAAAAACAACTTATATTCCTTACTGTTCACACCCAATTGCTCTTCTGAATCAATGAGATAAAGAATATAATATCTCCGGTCCTGCTCTTATGATATTACAGATGAACCAGTGAGAAATGAGCTAAACTTACATTAAGTCTTTATATTGTGGTTATCATTTTGGAGTGGTGGCATCAAGGTTTTAAACAATGCTCATTTGTTATCAGATCCATTAGGTAGACCAGACCATGAAATCAATTCCATAGGAAGGCTAAAAAGTAATTTTATTGAGATTGGCTATTATAACAGAATCTTGCAACTCTGATTGTTCTGTATGTCCTCCTCCTTTTTATAGTTCAATGAATTAGGGAGATGTTTGGACTGCTTCTGAATGTTATCTGGACATTCTGGACTTAGAAATTGCTTCATCTCTTTTTGCTTAGGCAACAAGCTTCTGCATACAGTATCTACATCAAGGTCATCTTCCTTACTCTCTACATTTTTATTCCCCAAATAAACTCCTAAGTAATGAACTTGATTTTGGCACGTGTGATAGCAAAGCAATGTGATACAAATTCCAGAAGGAAGAATTTGCCTGAAGGAAAAGAAGAGCAAGAACCAGAATAATTAAGAGAGAATGAGGGGGCAAAGGGGGGAAAAGAAGAAATATATAGTAGATAGCTACACAGGAAAAAAGAAAAAGAAATGATGTAAACAGAAATGACTGCCAGATCCTGGACAATGAGCAAACTAAAGGAATGTAAGGATCGGAACATTCAGTATGAGGGAGAGTATGGAAAAAGGAGACTGTTACTGATTAAAAAAGAAAATGAAACTCCAACTCTGCGAAGTACCTTATCTTCCAGATTTTAGAGGGCAAAATAGGCTAAGAGAATTGAGATGAAGGTAAAGGCTCACAGTCAGCATGAAAAGGAAATGTTACTGTTTAAAGCTGAAATGCACTGTGACTCCTAAGGACTGTGCCTCTTATATGCCTGGGGAAGATCTCCCCATCTTTGCTTCAGCTGCTGAGAAACCTACTAAAAGATAAAATTTGGGAGCAGAGGACTTCGTGAAATTAATTTCCAGTTTCACTAAAGGAGGTCCAACTAGCTGCACAGGAACTTCCCGAAGAACAAATTGTTTCATATACTGCCCTTAAACTAACAGTATATAAATGTTTTTAAAAAGGACCTGATTTTTTTTTCCAGGGATATGATTAGAACTTTGTACTGAAAGCCGGGGGACTCTTTTGTGGAGTTCAATCCTCATTGGGCATTTTGCCCCAAGTGCCTTGTTTTATCCTGCATATGTCACTCAGCTCTTTTTAATCTGCCCTCCAGTGCTTGGCATTGATTGCCCTACTATATCCCAAGAGATCCCAGAGTTACTTACAGGGAATCAGGCACCTGGGAAATCCCCCATTAGAAGATGTGGTCACCAGGCATTCACAGCCGAAATGTGAATTTCAGAGCAGCTGAAAATCACAACTCTATTTATCTTGCTGTTCAGAACCATTCCATTCTATTTCTGACAATTTCATCATTCTCTGCTACATCATCTGTTTTGACCTGCAGGAATTTCTATTGTACTGTGAGTCTGCTATCTCTTTAACTTGCCCTTGGTATGAAACAATAAATTTACTTTGGACTACAAGAAAGTTGGGAATAGCATGAGTTAAGTTGCCTGTAAAATAGGATATAAATATTTCTCACGAGAACAGAACAGTTGGTACATTTGTAAAGAAATGATCAGATGGCCTGAGATTGACAGCCCAGAGAAAAGATAGAATTAATACATGTGGACTAATTTTATTTTCCATGAGTTAAAAATTAAAAATGAAAGCCAGCTTGGTCTAGTGGTTAAGGCACCAGGCTAGAAACCAGGAGACTGTGAGTTTTAGTCCTGCCTTAGGCACGAAAGCTGGCTGGGTGACTTTGGGCCTTACTCTGTCTCAGCCCAACTCACCTCACAGGGTGGTCGTTGTGGGGAAAATAGGAGGAGGAAGGAGTATTAGGTATACTCACTGCCTTGAGTTATTTATAAAAAACAATAAAGGTCGGATTAAAAAAAATCTTAAAAAAAAAAGATAGGAGGCCAAACTCAGTAATTGGAGCTGCTGAAGACAATGGATCATTTGGTACTGAATAGAGAGGAGTTTCCATTCAGATTTGGCAGATATGAGATAGTTATTTTTTAGTCCACTCTGAAAGACCTGTACACAAGAAAGAAACCTGTTTTGGTCCGGTGAGTTTGATTGCAAGTTAAGAGAGCCTGTGAGTTGTGGTAAGAAAACATTTTAGGAGCGGTAGACTATGATACTTCCTTGCTGTTATAAGATTAGAATTAATGGATAGAATAAACATTGTCCCTCACCAACATGTAACTTTACAAGGGCTTGGAAGCAAAGATCCTCATTAATTACCAGTGGCAAGAGTGTTAGTGGAGTGGAAATGTTGTGGTTTGAAGTAGGTGTAATGGAACATTAATGCATGTCACTTACTAGAGAAAGGGATAACGTGGTCCTGATATGCATGTTTGTTTGTACTAAAAAAAAAATCCCTTGCACTCACTCAGAAGGGAGAGCTGTAAAGAGGGCAGAAGGGGGAAACCCATAATAGCAGAAGAGGCTGCAGGAAGTATTGGGGACAACACCGTAAAAAACAAGTTTCTGTAGAAGAAGTAATAAAAGAATGAAGAAGTTTGGAGAAGATAGAAGAGAAAACAGAAGAGCTTGCAGTTTTCACTGTTGAAAAGCATAGAGATGCAACAGCAGAAAATCCAGCAGAGGCATTAGTAAAAGCTTCAGATGGAGCACTATAAAAAAGGCCATTGGGAACAGCTGTCAGGGAGTTGAATGCCAGGCGAAGCAGGCGAAACAGCTAGCTGCAACTTTTGCTCAGGAAATGGGAAATACTACAGAAGTGGTGGTAATGGATTTAGCAGTCACCTGAAAGAGAAACTGAAAAAAAGAGCTGAGGTCGCTGTTAACATAGAAAAAGAGGAAGAAACAGATAGTGAAAAAGCAGAGAAATCAGTGGAAAGGAGGATTGAACTGGATCTGAAAGGAGCTCTGGTGCTGGATGTTCTAGCTGTTCTCAGTGGACTGAAAGTGATATAACTTCAACCATCCCCACTGAGCAAACAGTTGCTGGAGTTACAGACATTTCCCATCTTGTTAGGAGAAGAGGAAACCAAAGGAAGAAATTAAACAAAGACAAAAGGACGCTAACAAATCTAAACCAGAACTGGATATCATTTGTGGAAATAAGGTTGCAAAATATTGAAAGATATTAAAGCAAAAATGTTGCAGCTATCGATGTAACCGAAAATACATATTTGAAAAAAATGTGATTGCAGATACTTTATGAATACAGGAAAGGGGGGAAAAAAAGGATTGTTTATATATGTAAGGTGAAATAAGCTCTTCTGCTTAAACCCTGTGTCCCAGAATGACAGTGATGCTAAGCTGGAAGAGAAGGAAAGATGTGTTGAAATGATTGATTGTTGCTTTTACTTGACTGCAAGTAAAGTGTTAACTGGATGCTTCTTTATAGGAAGTAGAGGCAGAAAGCTAAGAATCTGAGGAGAATATGGAACAGATTAGAGAATAAAAAGAAAGGAAAGGAAAAGGAGATAATCAGTATATTAAAAGGGGGGGGGGAAGCAACATGGGCTCTTGTGGTAAACATCCCATAAATTGTCCACTTCTAAATATTTTATATCTCATCTTGACTGTCTTTATGAAGTTGTTATTGAAGTTTTTATTGTGTAAAAACACCTAACATGCTACACCTAAGGTATTATGCTACCAATAAATGAGAAGATGAGAGATTTTGTACTGAGGTTAAATTCATCATTATATTACTTCTGTTGAAATGAACCTAGTTTTGCCATAAGATGCATGCTCTCTATTGACTGGTAACTCCTTAAGACTCTGCCTGGCAACATCAAATGCCAGACCCTGGGCGGGTGGGGTGGGGTGGGAAACAAGAGGGAGAAGAGGTTTTATCTGGAAAAGCTAGTTTGCAGTAATTCCAGAAAAGGACAACCTTAGTAACTGATATTTACAGTAACCAGTATAGGATAATACAGCAAGGAAGAGCACGCTGTCAGTTTGAGTACTACATTCAGACAATGGCATTGTACAACAATTTAATTTAATTTAATTGTAGATTAAATGCTGGGTTATAAGAAAACATATAAATACATCTTGATTATGTGCTTTTTATTTTTAATCTGTGAGAGTACCTGCTTATCTGTGCATTTTTGAATATTAGTGATAAAAACAAAAATGTGAAATCAAAAAGACTAATAGTGTTATTGCAGTAGAGTATTAGTTTACAGATATTTTGGTCACTTACTGTAAGTGTGAACTTTTTTGTCTGTAGGACAAGCTTCATTTTTAAAAGATCTCTGTGGATTGCAGCAGGGATACCCAGTGGTATTGTGACATCACCAGGGGGTGGAGTTAAACATTTTCAGCCTGTTTTGTAGGAATGGTTTAAGGGACAAGATTTAACACAGCTTTTTTGCTCTTTATTTTATGGAAAAATCACTACAAATACCACCAAAAATCAGTATGATCTTGGGGGAGTTTTGAGGGCCACAGAATGAAGAGTTAGAGGATTGTAGTTTCCCAGCTGTAATTTACCACAATTTGGCAAGGAGACCACCTATTTTGTCAAAACCATGCCCAGCAGCTATTGATTTTTAAAGCAGAAGTAGAAAAACTTTTTTTTCCAGTGAAGGGCTCTTGAACCATTGGAAGATGACTTGCTGTTTATGATGGGTGGAGCCAGATTTTAATAGCAGATGGATCTAGATGCAGTAGAGGATGAATCCATGGTTTGGTGTGCATGGAGCTTGCATCATTACCTCACTCTGTCTCTCTTTGTGCTACCTTATCCCATCTCTGTCTTTCTTTCTCCTTCTAGCACATCAAGCTGAAGAATTAGCTATTCCCAGAGTGCAAGAATGGACTTTTAGGAACTAGTTTGATGATGCTAAGTGCCATATGGAGTTAATTAAAGTGTTGCGGATTCCTTACTCAGCCATAGAAGTGTTTCCTCAGCTATTTTTCTCATACATCTGTGTTCTGTGCCCCAGGCAGATAAATGGTGAACGCTCAGCCTTCACAGAATTGCAGTTACTAAAATACGTAATCATTTACAAAGCCACAGAGTAATGCCCTGAGATGACCTTGACAGAAGTATGCAAGAACCGTTACCTAGGCAAAGAGGGATGAAACATTGTTTAAGCCCTGAGAAGCAAGATAGTATTTGGAAGTGGATCAGGCAAATGCCTCTCTGATTCACTGGGGCATAAGAAGGGGAGGGATAGCGTAATCAGACTTGCAAGATTCTGTTACCATGCCTTTCTCAATAAATTGTAGTTCTAGTCTTCCTTGGAGTTGATTTTCTGGTCTGTAGGGCTGACACGCCCATTTGTCCCTCTGTTGGAATATCTCCTGTTAATTATTTTCTGTATGATTCTGTTTTTTCCCTCCAGGTCCAAGCTCAGTTGCAGCTAGAGGGGGTCACCCATGCCCACCCTCATCTCCATCCTCACCTAGCTGCTCATGCCCCTTATTTGATGTTCCCTCCCCCTCCCTTTGGACTCCCAATTGCCTCATTGGCCGATTCTGCATCTGCAGCTGCAGTTGTGGCTGCAGCCGCCAAGAGCAACAGCAAGAATTCCAGTATTGCTGACTTGAGGCTCAAGGCCCGGAAACATGCTGAGGCCCTGGGGCTTTGACATTTCCTTTCTGGAAGCAGTTTCATTGCCAGGATGGACAATAGTTTCCTTTCCTCCAACTGTCATCCATGCTTGGCTGAGACAAGGATGAGTGCTAGATTTTGAAAGGCCTGGAAGTCCTTGTAGATGCACAATCAGCACCGGGCTGCTTTTTCCTCCTTTACTCCCTCCTTTCTCCTCGTCCTATTTTGTTCCAAGATGTCAGAAGTTATTCAGTTGATCTGAGGATTGAAGGACTCACCTATCTACTTTTTTGATTTTGGCCAAGTGCTTAGTGCTGATGATTGCAGTTAAACTCTCCTGCTCCCACCAGATGCATACTGAGTCTGAATTCAAGGTATAAATAACAAGTTAAAAAAAGAAAAATCAAGAATACTTTTGGAGGAGAGAAGATGAGAGGGATAATTCTCCAAATCATGTGGCATCTTTGTTGGGGCAACTGGAGCTTGACTGTGGCCAACGTGAGCATTGTGTCAACATAACACTACTCACTGCTGTCAGTTTTGCAATCTTGTGCATGTGCCTAACTTCTACACCATCTGGAAATTAGACTCTACTGGAACAAAACCCAAGCTTGAAACAATTCCCAGGGGCTGGTCTCCATTACAGTGACATATCTCCTTAGTTGCCAACTATGTTCTAGCTATTTCATGAATTGCTCCTGAACTAAGGAGCTGCTGCTGCAAAAGTGGCTTAAATTTAAATACAGAATTTCATATCACAGATGAGGCAGTTTAATCTGAACAAAGCAGGCCCTCCAGCTACATGTTTCACAAGGAGCTGCAACAACAACGAAAGTCAGAGACAGAAAGACACAAAAATCAGAGGTGATCCAAGCGATGGGAACCATAATAATGAACAAAGTAATAATTAACCATCTGAACAAGCAGATATGCTTGTAACAGAAGAACAAGTTAACTTCCTTGCTTTGATTTTCAGATGTCTGGATTTCTAGGGAAAAAAAAAACTTGTCTTGCAGGACCTAGAGGGATTGATTCATCTGTGAAAGATGGACATGCAGTTTTAAAAGTATAATACTGATGCAGTGTTACTTTTAGTGAAATGCAATTAAGTGCAGTAAAGTGCAATACTGTAAATATTATAGATTAAAAGGGAAAAATAGCAACACATTCTTACTCTGTTTGTAACCTACTCTGTAGGAACTATTACCTGGTCCTTGGTGCTCAGACTTAAGAATGATCATTTATTACCAAAACTAGATAGTCTGAGTTTTCTACGGTATGATGAAGAAATATGAATTGCATATATAAAGGGAATTGCCATGATTTTGATTCAGTTCATGTCCCATATTTCTGGGAACTAAGCTCAACTGCCTGTTTTAATTACTATAATTAGAATTAGAATTGTTATTATTTGGCAAATTGTTTCAAAATAAGGAGCAACAACCAAGAAAATGTCATATAGAGGTGGACAAATTAAGCGTGTGAGTTGTGTAAATGCATAGAAATAAATCCAGTTTTAGGTACACTAAATGCAATCTCATTGGAACTTTCTAATGAGTATAATCTATAGTGTCAGTCATAGAGAAGAAGGGAAATTTCCTGAAATTATATTACCAAAGTGGCTCGGATTATTATGCCTATGTTTCTCACTCACATGTAAATTCCTTTAACCAACTTGTAACCGGTGCTCCATCTGGGGACCAACACTGGTCTTGTCTACTACTATAGCTGTCTACATTTGATACCAACATTTCATTGATGGAATCCTTGCTTCTCAACAGCATAAAATCATCTAGTCTGTTGCCCTCAAGTGTATTTCTTTTTTAAAGCAATTATAGTAGTTGAATCTTTTGTTGATTTTTATCAGTCCATAAGATATATTAAATTTTTAAGTCCAGTATTTTCAAATTTTGCTCCTAATGTTGATATTTTCTATTGAGCATTCAGTCTTATTGTTGGCATGTTGCTTTTTCACCATTTATTTATTTGGTGTAAATTATATTTTGAATGTGCTTAAGAACAGATACATTTACCTGACTTTCCTACCTCTTTGCAAAAGCCCCAGTACCTCTTTGTGCCAAGACTATAGTGAAAGTGTAACATTAAATATATCCACAATCTTGCACACAGATCTATGTAGGACTGCCATATTCGAGCTGTAAAAATCCAGATGCCATTAGATGACAGCAAAGAGGCACAGAAAACTCTGTTGCCATCTGGTAATCTGGATTTGAAGCCTAGATATGGTATGCCCAGAAGTCTCATAGAAATAAGTGTAGTTAATTGCAGTTTTAAAGCTGGCAATAGAGAAGTAGAAGTCATGGCATTTTTCCTCTGTGAATTTTAATGTAAGGCTTTAATGGAACTTTCAGATCTCTTGATGAAAACCCTCTCAAAATTATAATTTGTTGGGTGCCTTGGACAAAAGCAAAATTAGACTCTTGGGAGTTGAAATCCAACTCACCTGCAGGGCACCAGGTTGGGGAAGACTACTAGAGAGCTATGGAAACCTATCAGCAAATGTTTTCTAAACTTGTATGCAATGCCAATGCAAACTAGAGAATTATTTATGATATGTAATTGTAGAACAACAGCAAGATGGCAGATATTTCTCCACTCTGAATACAGATGGGATTAATTAATTTCAGTGCAATCAATCATTTCCCTTTAATTCACCACAAAGAACTAATCTACTGCAGTGCACAATTTCATGGGAGATTCACTGTCCTCTGCCTGTTATATTGATTTCCTCTAAGTTCATGCTCTAGCTCATGCTCAATTCACTTAAAGTGGAACCCAATTCACCCTAGGATAGGCATAATGGAAGTTATATTTAAGTAATGTTTGATTAACACATTGCCTTGTTATGAACCTGTTTTGAATAGTAGTTATTCATCTCTCAGAATTTGATTGTACTTTTAGAACTGAATTTCCTTTTAATCAGTTCAAGAGCCTTCAGTAGGTTTATGGGACTTTCAGATTATTTAATGGACTTCTATGACTTCTATATATCTTCAAATCAGATATAGTGGAGAGATTTTCCAAAGCACAAAAGCATGTGCTTAGCGCAAGTGAAATGGACTTGTGCTTACTTGCTATTTTGTGTCTTCAAAATCTCTTTGTATACATATCAGTTCTCTTAATCGGCAAATGCTTAGACACTATAATTTCTTTAGCATAACTAGCCTTATAACATAGATTCTGTTATGTTTTGTTTGGCCTACTAGATTTTGAAATATTTTCCTACATTTGATTGATACTTTATTTTCATAAAATATGTACCCATGCCATATAAACAGTTTCATATAATTTAATATTTCTTTATACTTTCTAACAGTAGAAGCCACTGCCTAAGACCACAAATGATACTGAATGTGAAGGTATATTTATTAGTAAAATCAATTGGAACTTTAATAGCTCTGTATCCAGAAGATTAACAGTTGACTGATATCCTGCTTATAAAGCAAGGAAAGGCCACCTTTAGCACCTGGAGATGTTGTTGGGCAGACTTAGCAAGTATGACCAATGGTGAAGGTTGCTGGGAGTTGTCCAGCAATGTTTGGAGTGCCATACTTTGCTTAGACTTGTTTTAAACTCTGGATCTTCTGAGAAATAGTGGCAGTTTGGTGTAGAATTGTGTGCACAAGGTCCACTCTTGGCTCTCACAAGCTCTTGGAGGAGATCTTTCAAAGCTTACAAAATGTCAGCAAGACTTCACAAAATTTTTCTGAGTTCCCATATTTTGACATTTTTGAGAGGCAAGGTACTTTGTGCTTTTTAAAAAAAACAATATTATTTTACTTCAGTTTGAGGCAGTCAATGGATGAATTTTGGTGAGTTTGGCAAATGCTCTAAGATCTACAAGTATTATGTTGCCAACTTCTGGTTATCTCTGTGTGAGAAAAAAATGTCCAGTGTGAAATGCCTCTTTGACATTCATTTTGGAGAGGCTTCCCCTGCTCCCAGAGAAGACATCCTGAAATGATTTTTGGATTAACAAGGAACAAAAATGCAAATACTACTTTTATGAAGACTGGAGAAAGATCGTATAGGACCCCATGCCTGTGAGTTAAAAATGGTGTGAAAATGATAATGTTCCTTGAGGAAGGTCCATTCATCCTTGTATTGTCTCCATTCCAAGTTTTCTCATTCTTGTAATGCTTTAAAAACTTATTTGATCAAAATAAGAGAATGGCGCCATTTAGAAGACAGTGGATTACAGCCAGATTTACTTAAAGTAGACCTGTTAAAATAAGGGTGTAATGATTCCCTTTAATTCTAATTTTAGTGACCTATTCTAAATATTCCTAATTTGAGTTTCAACCCATAAGCTGCCGTTGGCTCATTTTTAGTGTTTTTAAAAATCTGTTTTTATAGATGACAATTCTGGTTCAGCTTCTCTTGCCTCAATATATGAAGAAAGAGACAAGACAGAATGCTTAAAAATTGCACATGCAGTTTCCTTTCTTGGTGGCCAGCCTCGAAAATGCAGATGATTTGTAAAAAATATAGGAATAATTGTGATTGGGAAGTGTCCTTCAGCTAATGGAATTATAACAATTAACCACCTTCTGTTTTAGGAATAATAATATTTTTTTTCTTTCTTGTCTTTTGTCCATTGCACAAGAGGCGCAAGAAAGTTAAATGCTCATATTACTAGACAAGGAAATGAACTGAAGTCACTGCTACAGTTAGAACAAGAATTCTGGTACAAATGGAAGAGTTAATTGAATCCTGCCACATCCCAATAGCTTTTCACATGCAGCCATGTTTTTCAGTTAGGAAACTTTCAAGCAAGTGATCTGTGACACACATTGTGAGATGATTCTGCATATAAGAGGACTCTGCTACATGCTCCTCTTCCTGTTTAAAATGGTTCAGTTACTTAAATAATTATTACCAGCTTGCCAGCTTGAGCTAGTATGGAGAATATTAAAAAGGTTCTAGAATCTCTTGCTATGATGGTTTCAGCAACTCCCCTTTGAGCAGGTCGTGTCCTTTGATCTACTACAGCTGCATCAAAGTAAGTTAGGGCTG